GAAACATATTCCAGCAAATTTTCTGTTACTGGGTCTTCCCGCAACAAACCTTCCCTCAGTACCTTTAAAGGACCGCGGACTGAATGCCCAAATATTAATTCAAATGGGCTGAACCCCAACGATTCCTGTACGGATTCGCGAGCGGCGAACATTAGGAATGGGATACCTTCGTCCCAATCGTGTTGGTGGTCCAGGCAATATGTTCTCATCATGCTCTTCAAGGTGGAGTGGAACCTCTCCAAGGCACCTTGGGACTGGGGGTGATAGGCGCTTGACTTAATGGATTTTATACCCAAACTTCTCGTAACTTGTTGAAACACCCCTGACATGAAGTTGGATCCCTGGTCTGACTGTATCACCCTGGGTAAGCCGACCATGGTGAAAAAAAGCTAACAAGGGCCTTTACTATTTTTCCTGGCGGATAGATTTCTCATGGGTATCGCTTCGGGGAAACCTGGTCGAGGCGCACATGATCGTTAGCAGGTATTGGTTCCCTAACTTAGTTTTGGGTAACGGACCAACACAGTCTACGATAATGCGACAAAATGGCTCCTCGAAGGCAGGAATGGGATGTAGGGGTGCGATGGGGATTTTCTGGTTCGGCTTCCCTACAACCTGGCAGATGTGGCAAGTCCGGCAATGCTCAGACACGTCCCTTCGGATACCCGGCCAGTAAAAGTATCTGACGATCTTATCGTGCGTCTTGTTAACATAAGGTGACCCCCAATGGGATCTCATGAGCTGTCCTCATGACCTCCGGTCTGTACAGTTTAGGGAGTACTATTTGGTGGACTGTCGACCAGTCTTCTGAGGCGGAGATGTGCGGGGTCTCCACTTCCTCATTAGTACCTCATTCTTAATAAAGTATCCAGTTGGAACTTTCTCCAACTCATCCTCGGGCAATACGTGACGGAAGAGTGGGGTGAGCTCAGAATCACTCCCCTGCTCTGTTATAAGTGCTCTCCTCGATAATGGAATGTCCATAGCGGGCTCAACAATACCATCGCTATTTCCAGTTGGGTTACTATCGGGAGGATAATTTAATCCCACATCAGGATTTATAAACGTCTGCGATAGGTCTATCACTTCGTCTTCTGTCCTATCGATTATCTCGTTTATCTTTTCATCGGCCTTCTTTCTGGCCTGTGCTCTGGTCACTGCACACGAGGGAAATATATCGAGATTCTCTTCCTCGATATCTTCGGTGTCTACCGAAGCAACCGGTTCCGGAACTACTTTAGGGTGGGGGTATCACCCTACCACCCGCCAATTCGTTTCCTAACAGCATGGATATGCCTTTCATAGGCAAACTAGGAACTACTCCGACCTCGACAGGGCCAGAAACTAACCCAGACGTGAGGTGGATTCGATGAAGGGGAACGCTAACAAAGTTGCCGCTAACACCCTGTATGATAACAAATTCGCCAGTGGCCGAATCCGATCCACACGGCACGAAGCTCTCCACAATCAGGGACTGAGTGGCCCCAGTGTCCCGCAAGATCTTCACGGATTTCTTCTTCGTGGGGTTATCAACGGGGATACAGCACCATTAGACACAAATGGCCTATACTCCTCCCTCACATCTTCATTCGGTTTCCTATTTAGGGTAACGCTGTCGGAAGAAATTAGCCCTTGGGGTCTCTCTTGACTTAGGGCTCTGGACTCGGCATTCCGCTTCGTCCAACAATTCGACACGAGGTGTCCTACTTTATTGCAGTAGTGGCACATCAGGAGTTTCCTCTCTCTCCTATTCGTCTGCCGATAAACCGGTGACGGAGAACTAGGATTTTGAGATTTGGTATCTCTCGGACTGGGTAGTTGGCCTGAACTAACCGATCGACCAAACTTCGAATTCGGACCAGAACCAGATCCACGTCTTGGGTGTGGACCGCTTCCAAATTCGGATGGGTTGTTATGATTGAACGTACCCCGCTTATGTGTTAACGCGTATTCGTCAGCGAGGGTGGCCATCTCATATAAAGTATCTACCCTTTTTCATCGAGGTAGGTTTTCAAATTATCAGGGACACATTCTTTGAACTCCTCTATCAGTATCATTTGCCTTAGCCTATCGTGATCTGCCTCGATGTTTTTCGATAAACTCCATCTATCGAAATAGGTTTCTTTTTGTCTAGAAAATTCTACATAAGTCTGTTTGTCTCCCTTTCGGCAGGCTCTAAATTTTTTGCCGGTATGCCTCCGGCACAAGCTCATACGACTTTAAAATGGCCGATTTCACAATGCTATATTCAGCGCAATCTGCTACTGAGAGCGCGGCATACGCTTCTTGAGCTTTGCCTTTTTAGTGCGGTCTGCAGTAAAATTGGCCACATTTCTATGGGCCATGCTAGGTTTGAGGCGACCTTTTCGAAATGCTGAAAATATTTGTCGACGTCAGCCTCGTTAAACTGCGGTACGAGTCGGACTTGCTTCGCTAAGTCGAACTCACTACTTCTAGCTTCGTGAAGTTCCCTTTTCGTCTAACTCCCGAAATCTAATTTCTTGCTCGATTCTAGCTTTTGCTATTTCAGCCTTTGCTCTTTCAGCTTGGCTCTGACCTTAGCCTCGGCCTCAATTTTCACTTTCTCGAGCTCGAGTTGTGCCTGCGAAAGTTCCGACGTGTCTAGTGATAATTTACTTAATTCTTCTACGTCGAAAACGTCGTTATCTACCATATGCTCACAGACTATCCTGACTAGCTGAGTTTTTCTCATAGACTTCGTTACCTCTAGTTCTAATTCCTTCCCTATTTCAACTATATCATCCTTCTTAAGCTTACATAATTTTTCCATAGAGGGCGATGCGAGAAAACTATCTATAACCGACATCTTGGCCTGTAGTTTGCCGACACCCTGAAGTTGTGCGATTCTTACTGAGTGAAAAAACAGGGAGAAAAGATTCTCGGAACGAGCCCCCAATTTTATATGTTACGAACTTTAGCATATAGATGAACCACGGGTTCTAAAAAAAAAAAGGAAAACGTGGTTTCTTTTCTCGGTCTTCACTCAGAAATGGAAGCGACACAAAGGAATCAACGAAGGACAGACGCAAGACGATGGATTTCAAAATTAAACATTTATTTATAAATATATATATAACGAAACAAAGAAAAAAAAAAAGAACATTCATTTAACAAAGGGGAGGACATCAGTAAAGAATAGAAGGCGCGAGCGAATACATACATATATGAAAATAGATCGAGCCAAAAGAACCAACTTATCTTGCAGTCGGGCTGGTATCTTCACAAAGTTTTGATTCGCCGAAGCGAGAGTTCTGATGATAAATCAGTATCTTGGCCGGCCGACAATGTTCCTGGATTCTTCTTCTTTTCGCAAGTGTTCGTGGGTCCCCAGCATTTCATACAGGCATTTGGTTGGGTTGATCAGTCAATAGCAGCCCTTCAATCACTGGTCGATAGACTTCGTGGTCTTCCTCATCTCAGTGGGCGGTCTGACGATTTTTGCCCAGCGATGTTCAACTGCCGCTGGTCAGAGGGAAACTGAAAAAATCCTTCTTTGGTTTTCGCTGTCCCCACAGACAGTCACGTGGGTTCCTTCGTCCTTGACCGGGTACGCAGGAGAATAGGGCGCAAATCACGCAGTGTTTGTGTGATGGCCAAAAAGTTCAACGCATGCTCCGTACGTCCCGATCACGTGAATCGCAGCATGAGACCCTGATGGTGTCTGGAGTTTACTCATGGTCAAACGCGAAATCTTAGAACCAGGTCATCCTCGCGTCGGGTCACTTCTAAGTTCACGGGCCCTTGGCTGGCGGGTGGAAAGAGGATAGGGAGAGAAAGAATTTGTGAAAGAAGAGGGGGCGTATGGCTGATCATAGAATATATTCGCTCGCGAATCGGAAGCATTGGATTAAATTTCTGTTTTTTATCTATTTATTTATCTTTCTTTTATATCTAACTAATTTTCTCTTTATTTAAGATTTTACTTTAGCCTAACGCCTATATGGTTAATGAAATCGTTGCTACGTGACAATATATATATATATATATATAATTTGGGATTTTTTTGTTTAATACTATTTATTTACTCTGTTATAGTAAATACATTGAGCACTTTTTATGCACGAGTTTTAATATTTTTTATTACTAGAATACCCTTGAATTATATACCAACGGATTTATTACCTGTAATAAATATATATATATATAAATATATATATATATATATATATATATATATATATATATATATATTTAGATAGATAGATAGATACATACATACATATATATATATATATATATATATATATATATATATATAGAGAGAGAGAGAGAGAGAGAGATGGTTATAAGTTTAGCTCAGTCTGTTGTGATTATAATTGATTGGTTCGTTTTTTTACGGCTCATCAACCCTTTACAGGTTATTTAAAGCCAGAAAACCTTTCTAGATTGTAAGAATTTTTTCTGGGAGATTATAATGATACTGTGATACAAGTCTTCCTAATTAACCCATAGCTGGGAGGAGAAGAGGTGAATTCATACCTTTCCCAAAGGTATTTGCACTTAAATGAACATAACGAATCCAACTGGTGGAGTAAAAAGCTTAACGCCTTTGACTTCCTTCTAATACCCTTGGGAAAGGTATGCATCTATCTCTTCCCCTCAGCTATGGGTAAAATAGCAGGACAGACTGGATCCTATAGCCTTAGTTGGCAACAAGTCTAGAAGGAAAACTGAATTCAAACCACCTGTAGAATTGTTGTAAGATTGTTTCTCTAACGTCTTAGTGGAGGTAACCTCCACCATCCCCAGTACAAGCATTATTGCATGAACTGCAGTTGTGAGTTACAGGGACGTGGTGACTAATAATTGAATAAATGCATTATTATTATTATTATTATTATTATTATTATTCCTACTTGTTACAATTGTACTTTTTTTAATTTTTAGATCATTTAATAATATTTTAGCACAGGTAGCTTCATTTATTTGTATTCTTGCTGGTGACGGACCAATCTATTAAAAATTGTCTTTAGCATACCTTAAAAAGAGGTGTAGTCCGAGAGAAAGAGAGAGACAGACAGACAGACAGAAAGAAAGATAGAGAGAGAGAGAGAGAAAGAGAGAGAAAGGGAGAGAAAAAGAGAAAATGTGTTTTTGTCCTTCAACTTGGCTGATAAGCATATATTTCTTTCTTATCTGATTGACCTCCAAACCACCCGCCAGGCAAGAAAAACAACCCCCCCAAAAAAACAACAGGAGGTTTATTCTAAGCGTAAAAGATCTAAGAGGCTCCTCGACCCACACATCTTTAAGTGAGTCAAAATGCACCGAAAGCCTTAACGATTGACCCTATGAGATTGTACTCTGAATGCGTTTTTTAACTTTTGAAATGACCAAAATGTCTGTTCTAGGCATATTTTTACTCCCTCTTAGATTTTTGGAATATTATTATTATTATTATTATTATTTCCTTTGATTTCTGTTGTATGCTCATTTCCTTCCGGATCCCAACCAGTGACCTAAGATCAGAAATGGCTTCATGACATTTTTCACTGATCATTTTTGTAAAAAAATAAAAATAAAAAAACCTAAGATCACAGACATTTTACTTAGAAAAAAGCTCTTCGTAATTTGTGATTTGTATTTGGAATTACAGTTTTTTCTATTTCTTTAAGGCGTGGGTAACCAGGAATCTTTTCAAAGACTCTATCAGAACTTTTCCCAATTACATAAATTTTGTATACATAATACATAATTGTATACATTACAATCTACAGGGACTGCTATGTCAATAAAAATTATTATTATTATTATTATTATTACTATTATTATTATTATTTTATTACCTTTGATTTCTGTTGTATGCTCATTTCTTTCCGGGTCTCGCCCAGGGACCTAAGGTTAGAAATGGCATCATGATATTTTTCACTGGGGAAAAAACAATTACAAAGACAAAGCCCTTCGTAGGGTGTGGGCTGTACTCGTGAGAACAGTTTTTGTATTTCTTTAAGGTATGGGCTTCCAGGAATCCCTTCAATTAGTCTACTGAAATCTTTTCCAACCAATCCGAGGGATCCAACTACAACAGGGATTGTTGATGTTCCCATGTGCCACATTTTTGGTATTTCGATTTCAAGTTCCTTGTATTTTGACAGATTTTTTAATATCTTCAAAGATCAATTGCAGTCTGCAGGGACTGCCATATCAATAAGGAGGCACCTTTTTGTGTGCGATCTCTAATAACAATGTCTGAGAGGTTAGCTTTGATTGATGTGAGAGTGTGTATTGTGTACTCCCATAAAATTATAACAGGTCTTATCTCCGTAACTGGGTGTGGGTGGCGTTCATATTATTATTATTATTTTCTTTGATTTCTGGCGTTTACACATTTCTTTCCGGGTCCCGCCCAGGGACCTAAGGTTAGAAATGACGTCATAACACTTTCCACTGACAAAAAAAAAAATTAAATTACATAGATAAAGCCCTTCGTAATGTGTGGGCTGTACTTGTCAGAACAGTTTTTTGTATCTCCTTGAGGCATGGACTTCCAGGAATCCCTTCAATTAGTCTACTGCAATCTTTTCCAACCAGTCCTAGGGCTCCAACTACAACAGGGATTGTTGATGTTCCCATATGCCACATTTTCGAAATTTCTATTTCAAGGTCCTTGTACTTTGACAACTTTTTGAATATCTTCAAAGATACATTGCAGTCAGCAGGGACTGCCATATCAATAAGGAGGCACCGTTTTTGTTTGTGGTCTTTAATAACAATATCTGGCCGGTTGGCCTTGATTGTTCTGTCAGTGTGTATTGTGTAGTCCCATAGAATTGTAACAGGTCCTATCTCCGTAACCGGGTCTGGGTGGTGTTCATACCAGTTTCTTTCAGTTTCCTTCCCGTAGAAGTTGCAGAATTTCCAATGCAGATATTGGCCCACTCTGTCATGCCGGGTTTTATATTCAGTGGGTGCCAACACCGTATTCAGTGGGTGCCAACATTATTCAGTGGGTGTCAACATTATTATTATTATTATTATTATTATTATTATTATTATTATTATTATTCAAGATTGTGTGTTGCAATTGTAGTTTTTGAACCATGTTCTAGCGTCTATAAATATCTCTTTCTGCACTCCCATCAATCAGGAAGTTCCTATTAAGAGAACATCTTTCTGTTATCAACTCACTGATGGGGGGTCTCGTTTCGCGATTTCCTACGCGATGCCCCCTGGAAGGATGCATTTAATCATCCTGTTCAGAAATGTGCCACTGAGATCTCTTTCTAGATGAAAGCCGGCATCAAATCTTTCATTCCAACACAGAAATACCAAGTGAAACCACGATCATCTCCTGGTTTATCACCTGTCTACTCAGCTGCTATAACCCACAGGAATCACTTTTTGTAGTTATGCCAGAGCGACAGATCCGTTTGTAAGAGGTGTCTCCTTGTCATAATGAGTACGAGTGTGTCCTCAAAGAAGCAAAATCATTCTTTGTTGATAGAACGTGACACCGTATAGCCTTTCACAAGTTTGGTTCTAGAAATTAATGGCGGCTTTACAAGAGTGTGCTGAAGAATATCAAATCCTCAGTCCCCCCCCCCCTCTTCAATCAATTTGAAGTATTGACATCTACTTCAGATAAAGCAGAGGTCATTACTCGGAAATTCTTTTCCAACTCCACTTCCGGTGCATCTGGAGTCCGTCTGCCAGATCCCCACCACCACCACCACCGCCGCCTTAATTTTTAATTTATTTGCCTTACTTTTTCGTTTAGCATTTATTTATCTATATAATCCATTTTGCCTTAAACTGTTTCTCTTCCAAATGACCATACATTCTGGCTTTTTAAGGGTTAACCCCTTCTGTTCGATTTTCAGTGGATGCTCCGTTATTGAAACCCTACGGAAGGTAGTAAAGGAAAGCGAGAAGAAAAGACTAACCACTACTTGTAAGGAGACCGAATATATGGTTGTCAGCAAGAGGAACAGTCTAAGCTGCAAACTACAAATTAGAGTTTAAATATCTGATAATTGTTTTAAGAGGAATATATGACACCGAAATCCGAAGGCGCATTGGGATAGCGAAAGATGCCTTCCAGAAACTAAGCGAAGTATTAAGAAACAGAAACATTTCGTTAAAAACAAAGAAAACAGTGCTGAACTGTTATGTAATATGGATCTTTCCTTGACAATCTTCTAACAAATGAAGAAGAGATCTGAGGTAACAGAAATGTGTTTTTACAGTTGAATCTAATCCAGCAGGGCTGGGATTTGGAGAGATAATAAAAACACAAGCATTACTAAGAGCTACAAAGGATGGGAAGTTGTGGAGAGCTGTGATCTCTCATGTCCTGATGGAATACGGCATTTAGAAGAAGATACGATACTAGAATAATAATGTTCTCTATATAATCCTAGAGTTCTTTCTCTTCTTAGAAAATAAATATGGATTCTGACACAGCGTCGAAGAGGACCACCCACAATGTCTGGCACACCCCACCAGAGTAGACATAAGAACTGAACAGTTGATATCTAAGTTTTTAGTGAAGCCCTTGCTTATTAAGTTGAACGGATGTCACCAGCAATAAATCCATCGTAAAATCTGCCTTGAAAGCATCTGCGTTTAAAATCATTTATTATGTTTCTCACAGTAAGCCATTTCCGTCTGTACGCTGTTAAAATGGCAACTTTGAAAGATTTTCTTTCTTTCTTTCTCTCCCTCTCTCTCTCTCTATCTATCTATCTATTTATATCTCTTTTATTTCTTCTCTTTCCTTCTGCCTATCTTTTTCATTATTGCCTTTTTTCTATCTATCTTTTCCTATGTCTTTATTTATTCACTTATTTACCCTATTTTTATTTCGCCTTACCTATTTAATTTATTTGCATTATTTTTTTTTTATTTGCCTTGCCTTTTACTTGCCTTTATAATACATTTGCCTTAAACTGTTTCTCTTCGTAACGATCATATATTCTGAATTTTTACACTTAAGGATTAGTCCTCTTTATTCTTATCATTATCTCGCTATCTCACTTTCTTTTTCCTCCACCTTTTTATCTCTCTCCCTTCCTCTCTCTCTCTCTCTCTCTCTCTCTCTCTCTATATATATATATATATATATATATATATATATATATGTGTGTGTGTGTGTGTGTGTGGAGGCATAGTCCTATGAGTAAAAGAGAAACTCGGATGAGTTCCACCACGCAATATATGATCGAGCGGCGCTATATCGAGTCTAATTCGCTACCTCTGCGTCACCGAGGCCCATTGTTACAGTTGGTATGACATTTACCTGATAATGTAACTGTCCGGGTTTTAATTATCGGTAGTGGATGCTCACTGCTAATGCAGTCCCAAATATAGGACGAAACGGCCGTCCAGTGCTTTCTGCATTCTGTTGAGGTTTCTTCTAGACTCGATGAATTACTTAATTATCTCAAATCCTCATAATTTCTATCATATATATAGTAGAGAGGACCCTTTAAATATTAAATTTAAAGGCCTCTAAATTTTAATCTAATTTTTATCCATAATCTATATTAATACATAATTTAATCTATATTTTATATAATCTTATATATAATCCATTCATATTGTATTAATTTGGTCTTATTTATCTATTTAATTTCTTGTTATTTATTTATTTATTTATTTTTTATAATTCTATTTAAAAAAAATGCATCTAATATTTATTTAATACGAGTTTAATACGAATATTCTCTTGTTCTCGCTAGAACAATTACGACTGAGTAGTGAGTTCGATCCTCACTAGGTGCCCCTTACTTTCAGCCTCGTTCCACGTCTAAGCTACGCTTGGAAAATCACTATAATTGCAACGCTTTCATTCAACACGCTTTACAGCGTTTCCCAGTTTGGGACTACTTTTGTTTTATTGACATTAATGACCTTCCTGGCGGCATCAGCTCTTAACTTGGTATATATGCACATGACACATCCATTTGCTCCTGTTTCGAGAGTAAGTTCGATAAGGTTAAAATATGGCACCCGATGTCCAAAACAACCTACAAGTTGTTGTTAACTTGGGCAAGGAATGGCATGTTAATTTTAACGCCTCCCAAACTAAACTGCGCTCCACTAATCATCTGAGAAACTCTTCTCTGCTTGCTATTAACATGCCTGATGCTAACCTCCAGGAAAATGACTTATTGCGGCTTCTTGGACTAAAGTCGTCGGCTGACATGAAGTAGAAAGACTCTATTGAATCCATTGCTAGGTCAGCCGCTAAGAAAGTTGGTTGTCTGAGTTGTGCGAGAATCTATCCTACATATCTATAAGTCTACCATTCATCCATGCCTAGAATATTGCTGCCACATATGGTCCAGTGCCCATGCTATTTACCTTGAGCGCCTTGATAAAATCCAAAGAAGAATCAGCAATATTATTGGTCCTGATGTGGCAGATCAGCTTCAGTCACTTTCCCACCGCCGTGAGATTGCCTCTCTGTGCTTTTCTATAAATACTTTCATGGTAATTGTTTGGATAAGCTCTTCCTTATCAGACCTAAACTTCTTAAATTTAAGTGCAGTACGAGACCGGCGTCTAGATTTCATCAAATTTACAGTTGGGCTGGCGAGACGTAGCCGTAAGTTCTATGCTAACAGTTTCTTTTCTCACATTTCTCACTTGTAGAACTTCTTTCTGGCCATCTTAATTCTTCAAATATTTAAATGCAATTCCAATCGCTATCTACTATCTTCCTGATTACTCTTTCTTCTTCCCACTCATTATTAATGTTTCTGTTCCTAATTCTTCCACACCCAGTAACCCATTGTGTCTTAGTGGCTTTACTGCCTTGCTTGTGGAACTCCCTTCCGACTCCATGCTTTCCAGCCAATTTTAATCTGCAAAAATTTAAATGCAATGTCAATCACTATCTACCGTCCTCCTGATTACTCTTTCCTCTTCCCACTCATTATTAATGTTTCTGTTCCTAATTCTTCCACACCCAGTAACCCCTTGTGTCTTAGTGGCTTTACTGCCTTGCTTGTGGAACTCCCTTCAGGCTCCATGCTTTCCCGCACTAAAAAATTTAAATGCAATGTCAATTGCTATCTACTGTCCTCCTGATTACTCTTTCCTCTTCTCGCTCATTATTAATGTTTCTGTTCCTAATTCCTCCACACCCAGTAACTCCTTGTATCTTAGTGGCTTTACTGCCTTGCATGGGGTGATTCCGATTACAAAAAAAAGAAAAAGAAAAGAAAATTTTCCACAACTCTTCCCCGCCAAAATTTTGATTTAAAAAAATGAGACAAGCTGAAAAATGTTCAACAACCCCACCTATAATATCTTATTACCCTGATTGCGTATGAACTTTTTGCGGAAATATTTCTTTTCGAAAATGTTAGCCAAACTCATGAAGATCTGATACTCGGCAGAGAAAGAACCGCTTCTTACAGTAGAAAGTTCGTTTCTAATTCGTTCTATTTCGAGAGCGACATTAAATCACACATATACGTTGGTTGTAAACTGCCTAGTCTTATCTTCGGGCAAAACACGACATAAACGAAACCCAAGGAAATGGCCTGTTCATAAATTCGCTGAGGATGTGGGAAGAATGAACGATTCCATCTTTCCCTCCAGAAAATACCGACTGACTCCTTCAGTCATTACATGTCATTTCGGGCAAAGAATGCAGTACTGTTGCCGTATATAGGCTGGTGCTGCCCAGTCGTCATGCTCAAGCCTTGACAGAGTTCAGCAGGTGATGAATTATTTTCATCCCTGCAACCCTTTCTCATAGACGAACCGTTGATAGCCTCTCACTACTTAATCGATATTTCCATGGCAATTGTTCAAACGAACTACATTTCTTAGTTTCGCCTGTTCAGACATTCCCCGATAGGACCCACCGTGACACATACACGGTGTTAAATCATTCACTTAGTATTCCATTTGTAAGGAGGAAGTTACACTCGATCAGTTTCTTTTTGAGAGCTGTCACGTTGTGAAACGGACGTCTCCGATCACAACAAACTTTTCAAGTTTAGGATCAAAAGAGAAATATATATATATATATATATATATATATATATATATATAGTTGGATTGATATGAGTTTGTGACCATGGGTTTCACGCTATTTGTAATCGTCAGACAAACTCATATATAGTATATAAATAATATATATAAAAAATCGCAAATATATATATATATATATGTGTGTGTGTGTGTGTGTGTGTATATATATATATATATATATTTGCACACACACACACATATATATATATATATATATATATATATATATATATATATATATATATATGACCCCTTTCCTCTATAGATATGCCCTTACAGCAATCTCATTCACCACTTTTCTACCTTGAGTGGTTCTTGGGCCTTATATTGGGTAAACAATAGTAAAAGAAAATGTTTCGTTTTGCCGAACGTTAGTATTTTATCGGCAAACTTGAATCTTCGTGCTCACAATAAAACGGAAAGTCAAAAGAACGGTTTTCCCTTGACACCTCTATTATTTTAACTACCTTCACTCCTTGGCAATGTTTATTGCTTTAAAAGGTGATGATTAGAATTATAATAAAACCTAAATATATGAAAGTGAATTTAAACATTTTCTTTATTCTTAAGAACTGACTACAAAAAAAATATTTATTAGATTCTTTATTTACAGTATTTATTATTATATTGGAATAAAATAAAAACATCGTCAAATTGCCAATTGATTCCTAAAATGGTAAATAATAAGGATTTCCTTAGAATAGATAGGGCTATGTAGAGACTAGTTTCGAAACGGTGAGACTCACCTCATGGGTGCGACGGAAGAGGATAGCAGGTGAGGCGGAAGAGAAAAGCAGGTGCGACGGAAGAGGATAGCAGGTGAGGCGGAACAGTATAGCAGGTGAGTCGGAAAAGGATAGCAGGTGAGATGGAAGAGGATAGCAGGTGAGGCGGAACAGAATAGCAGGTGAGGCGAAAGAGGATAGCAGGTGAGGAGGAAGAGGATAACAGGTGAGGAGGAAGAGGATAGCAGGTGAGTCGGAAGAGGATAACAGATGAAACGGAAGAGGATAGCAGGTGAGGAAGAAGAGGATAGCAGGTGAGGCGGAAGAGGATAGCAGGTGAGGCGGAACAGAATAGCAGGTGAGTCGGAAGAGGATAGCAGATGAGGAGGAAGAGGATAGCAGGTGAGTCGGAAGAGGAGAGCAGGTGAGTCGGAAGAGGATAACAGATGAAACGGAAGAGGATAGCAGGTGAGTAAGAAGAAGATAGCAGGTGAGTCGGAAGAGGATAGCAGGTGAGGCGGAACAGAATAGCAGGTGAGGCGGAAGAGGATAGCAGGTGAGTCTGAAGAGGAGAGCAGGTGAGTCGGAAGAGGATAACAGATGAAACGGAAGAGGATAGCAGGTGAGTCGGAAGAGGATAGCAGGTGAGTCGGAAGAGGATATAGCAGGTGAGGCGGAAGAGGAGAGCAGATGAAACGGAAGAGGATAGCAGGTGAGGCGGAATGATTGAAAGATAGTCAAAGATTAAAAACAGTTTTAAAAAATTTGTATGCCAAAAATAAATATGATTTCAAAATTTAAAATATTATTATAGATTACTTTTAATTCGACGCATGAGTCAAAGTATGAACAGTTATAAATAATTATTGACCAATTTTATTATTGAGATATTTTTACATTATATCAAGTATGAAGAATATAGTAACTAGGGTCCACAAAAATGAGGAGAAAGTTATCAATGATAATGGTCTGATTTCGAATTCATGGTTATCTCCCTTTAACACTCTCTCTTTATTACATAAAATTTTGTGAAGCTCGAGCAAATTTTCATTCAGAAAATACGGCCCAGGGAAAAATGGTTAGGGAATCACTGATTGTTGACCATGTTTACCGTAGTCTTTGAATATAGAATCCAGTGCAGTACGTAATGTGTTCAATGGAACAACGCCAATATCACTAGTAGCAGCTGTTCTGTAATTCTTCAGGTCTTCGATATCAGAGGTTGGCAACTAATATTCGAAAAAAAAATGGCCGCCTTTATACACGTCGCATTGAATGTTCTGAGCCTTCTGATTGGTTAACCCTTCTATTGGCGAACTATAAAACGAGTCAGCTCATTTTGGCTAGCTCACTAGTACTTACAGGGTACCCAAAAATTCCAGCATTGGTGTGGGGCCTAAGAAGCAGGGGTCGGCTAGAAATTTCCTGAAAATTCTTAATTTGGACGAAGTCAAAATGAAATTGTACCGCTAACGCCTGATTTTTAAACACGTAACTCAAGAGAATGGCATGAAGTTTTTTTTTTTAATAAATCAGGGATCGTAATAAGTAGATATTGATATTAGAAATGGTCATTTTAGCTGTTTCCTTATAAGGAAACATTTAGCATTCATTAACTGAGCATCTAGTGTTATATGAGTTTCACTTTTCTTCACGGCATAGTTCTCGTCATCTCTTATGATAATTATAATATTAATCGTTTATATATGAGGAAATATTTGCCATTCAGCCTTGGATCGAAGTGTAGTATCAGTTCTCCTCATCGTTAATGATAATTTTAATATTGGCTGTTCTTATAAGGAAACAACATGGCTTGTTTATGCCTTTTCTATAAATACTTTTATTATATTAATTCTCCTAATGAGCCTTCTATGTCCCTCCTCTTGGCCTTATGCCACATTTCTCTATAGTTACAAAATAAATATTGCTCTCCTCTATGATGCCTACTCGACTGGCGTCAAGGTTTTATCATCTTATAGTTGAAATGGCTAGATGCAACCGTAAGTTCTATGCTAACAGTTTCTTCTCTCGCGCTTGTGGAACTCTCTTCTGCTTCCATGCTTTTCAGCCAATTTTGTTCCTCAGAATTTTAAATGTTTCTTAGAAATTTTCACACTTAGTAACTTCTTGTGTCTTAGTAGCTTTACTGACTTGCTTGGGGGTGAAATGATCTTTTAAAATTTGGGCATTTTTTGACCAATCACACAGTGCTACTCGCGTTACGCTTTCCTTCGTCTCTTGGCCATCCAGCTGGGATCAAAGTAGAGTAATTGTTCTCCTCATCACTAATAGTAATGGTAATATTAACCGTTTCCTTATAAGGAAATATTTGGCCTTCACTGACCGAACAGCCAGTGCTGCTATCTGTTGAATTTTATAAAACCTGTAGAGTAGACGGAAGTGGTCAACATTAAATCAAAGGAACAGATGACAAAATTAAACACACCGCGCAAGAGCTCCGCGCAGCCTTCCGGGTTTTAAACATAATTCAAATTTTCAATTTAAAAAATAAATAGCCAATAAAATTAACTCCCGCCATTAAATAAACGCAGGCCTCTTTAGCCTACACAGGATCATAAAAACCAAACATTCATTCAACTCAACAGAAAGATTGAAAGCAGTAAAGAGACGCGAGTCAACCTCGTCGTCCTGTCTTTCTCATCAAAACAACAGCGGTTTCTCTTTAATGTTGTCTCCCGACTTCATTTTCTCTCTTCTTCATTGAAAAACTATTCACGTTCATTCCCTTACAGTCAAAGAGAAGAACTTTCTAACTTTCATTTCATGATAAGTAATTACAGTTAAAAATTGTGTATCCTACGTTTAATTAAATATCATTTTATTTGAACAGGCAACAAGCTTTTCTCTCATTTTTCTTATTAAAACGGCGACCCAATAAATCTTTCCCTAACAAACATTTCTCTTCAAACAACTTTTCATGAAAACCGGTTTCTTGTTGCTGTTATTGCTCTTTCCAGTATTGACGGGAGTTTCCTTCTTAATCTTTTGTTTGAAGTCGTGTGGAATGTCAACATCTTGATTATATCTTTTCGAGTTACATGTGCTATCCATTTTAGTTGTTGCGGCTGTTGGAATTCCTCAAGGGATGTTAACTGATAGAATACTTTTGTCATTCTGCAACGTCAGTCGACGAGGTTCAAAGAAGAGTGGTCCTTACTGAGACCTACATACTTCACTCGCACGAAACCATTTTTAACAACTGATCTAAGAAAAACGGTTGTAGACAGCCGGCTGTTTAATTATTTCTAAAAAAAAAAAATGTTTTGATTTTTAGCAGCTTGCTGTCTTAGACGAAATTATATATATATATATATATATATATATATATATATATATATATATATATATATATATATATATATATATATATATATATATAAATGAGAATGAAAGTAATATATAAGTTCTAACATTCACAGCATTAATCCAAAAGAGGGCTCGATACTGATAGTAGAGCGATAATTATTTATTATAATTTTATCATATCGACAAAAACGTTTACTCACTACAAAGATGCAACGGTGTTTCGGTGCATTTCAATTGCACCTCGACGGATGAGAACCAAAAATGCTTTTGAACAATTCTTATATATATATTCTGTACTCAAACTTTCCTTATTTCCAGTTTTAACTTTGTTGTAACTGATACATATTTTTTTACACGAGGTAATTTTCACATAATTTAGAAGAGTAATTTGTGCCGTTCTCATGATAAAAGGTGATTTTTTTTTCCCCCAATTATGTGTAAACCAAATGGCATAGCATGTCCTTGTAAAATCAAATGATACTATTCTTTTTCTATAATTCCCTTGGCCGAAATCAAATCTCCAACATTTTGGTAATCTCAAAAAGTCTACCGATGAGTTAATGCTGAAACAAAATATAATTTCCCATACAAAAATATTCATAAATTAGCAAAATGTATTGCGGACAGATGAATCAAAATTTGAAGGTTTTGATAGTAATATGAGAACATTAATCTGATTGCAAATAATGTAAATAATGATAATTCCTCTTTCTAGAAAGCCTAAACATTGTGGTAATAACAACAAAGATGAGGATATTAGTCTGACTATAAATAATGGAAATAATGATAATTCCTCATCCCAGAAAGCCGAAAGATTGTGATAATAACAACAAAGATGAGGATATTAGTCTGACTATAAATAATGGAAATAATGATAATTCCTCTTTCTAGAAAGCCAAAACATTGTGATAATAACAACAAAGATGAGGATATTAGTCTGACTGTAAATAATAGAAATAATTTTAATTCCTCATCCCAGAAATCCAAAATGTTGTGATAATAACAACAAAGATAAGGATATTAGTCCGACTGTAAATAATAGAAATAATGATAATTCCTCATCCCAGAAAGCCGAAACATTGTGATAATGACAACAATGATGAAGATATTAGTCTGACTGTAAATAATGGAAATAATGATAATTCCTTGTCCTAGAAATTCCAGACGGAAACTAAATAATTAATTCATCTGGAAATTTTATTTGAAAGACGACTTTTAGGTAAATTCCTAATAAACTCTCGTATCACGGGCTTCGTTCCAAAAAGGACATTCTTGAGAGTAAATAATGGTTTTATTGATGGAACCAGTTTGATAGAGAAAAATAGAGAAAAAGAGTGAGAAATGCAATAAACGCCAATTGCAAGTGACGTGGAAACATTAACGATAGAGGAACGCTCAACATTTAAATTTCAGTTTTGATATCTGTTTCATGTAGGTTTTAAACTTAAACATAATTGCATTTAGCTTTTTATCACCGATAATTGATATAAATTATGTTTTTTTTAGGGAAGACAAATGGAGTATCATCCAGAGGACCATTTGGATGATTCCGTACTGAGTGCTATTCTCATCTTCATTGGCATATGGACACATGGCCCAGTAGATAAAGACGTTAGTTAGATCCAATGATTAGACCCAAAGAGTTATGAGTTCAATACCAGGCCACAGCAGTGGTGAACCAAAACTTGGAGAATTGAGCTAAAAGGAAATAACTGAGACATCTGGAAGAAGCATGGCACGTGGAACTAGAACAGTCTACCCCGGTGGACGAAATAAAGGGTTCGGTTCGAAGTTCCAATAACCTGAAGAAGGCCGGAGCGTACAACGGCCGAAACGTTGTGAATATGGCAATGAAGATGAGGATAACAGTCCGAATAATGTAAATAATGTAAATAAACATAATACCTCCTCTCAGAGATATAGAGGCCGAAACGTTGTGAATAAGGCAATGTAGATGAGGATAACAGTCCGAATAATGTAAATAATGTAAGTAATCATAATACCTCATCTCAGAGATATAGACAAATTCTGTGGTGAGTTCACTTCAAAGAATTATGACACAATAGGTGATTTTTAAAAGTGCAATATTGTCTGTTCAGATATACCATAAGTTAAACTAAAATGACAAAAGCAGATGACAAATGTTTGTTCGCCACCGTTAGTGCTTAGCCATGAGATTAAAGTACATTTGGATTTAATTGCTTTCGAAACCTGTTTTTCCTGACTGAAAAAGGTCAGTAGAAAATAAAGCGTACAGCATATTTAATTGGTTTCCTTCTTCTGTTAGTCTTTGAGTAATTCTTCTTCTTTATGTGTCGTAGACGATCATGGCTCTCCACAACTTCTTGTCCCCTCTTGCCTTCAATCTACCCTGTGAGTATCAGATTTTCCAAGCTCTCTTTCCTCATTATGTGTTACGGTAATATCAATTGTCTCTTCCTGATGTTAAGTAAGTTTCATTTTATTTAAATTTTCTTTATGTGCTGTGGACGATCATGGCTCTCCACAACTTCTTGTCCCTTATAGCTCTTAATATACTTTGCCTTTCTGTTATTTCTCCAAAGCCCTGTTATGCCATCCATTTAGTCATGCTTAAGTATGTTATGCGTCGTTTTTTCCTGTCTCCTCTTGCCTTCAATCTATCCTGTGAGTATCAAATTTTCCAAGCCCTTCCTCCTCCGAAACTTCAACTGCCTTTTCCTGATGTTAATTATTAGTTTCCTTTTTGTTTCCATTTTTCTTTAAAACTTTGTCGTTGTACCCATTTTCGGTCCATTGTATTCTGAGAATCGTCAAAATCATTTCTGTTGCTTTGGGTCTCCTCTTCATCTTTAAGGAAATCCTCCAGCACTCACTTGCCTTACAGAAAGACAGATATCACGTAGCAGTTTAGTACACTTTTCCTTCTTTCTATTTTCCTTTTCTTTCTATTTCTTAATACGCTGCTTAGCTTTTAAAATGCTTCCTTGGCTCTTCCAATACACATTCCGGTCTCAGTGTCGCTCTTTCCGTCCTCTGTTAAAAAAATTCCCAGATATTTCCGCACTTGTTTGATTTTGTCATCTCCGATTTGCAATTACCTATCATATTTTCTTGGGTATAATACGACCCTGTGTTTCTGAAGCTAAAACCAGAGAATAAATTACATCCTTGGCTATAATACGTATTGAGTCTGAGGCCCTGTAAGAAGATGAAGGAAGGCATAATGTCGTCATCAATAGCGATCACTCCAAACACCATGATGTTGACTGGATATATCATCCAACTCTTTCCGAATCAATAGCACTGTCCTCAGATTGACATCCAAACGCACTGAAATGTTTCTATTGAAGCTTCCAGCGCGAATACCAAGCAGTACAGCATGCCATTTCTAAATTTCTGGTGGAGGAAATTGCGTCACGGCGCTCTTTTTCTCACAGACGGTGTCCAACTGACCGTGCTATACTGTTTTTGTGATGTCAACGAACACTCGTTGTCACTTTCGTAATGCTCGTTGTAGTAGAGACTTTGTAATCGCAGATACAACTATAATAACGCCGTTAAACAATACTGGTGTCAGACGCCTTCGAATAACACTCGCACTAATTCGTATAGTGATCTGAATAGAGAAATAGTATAGAGAATAGAGTGTAGAGGGCCGTTGTTGAATTAGAAACACGTGCTGTTTATTCCTGATAGAAGATCTAACTACAAGAAAATGGCGGACACAAGTTGAGTCCAACCGAAGATGTAAAGAAAACAAACAAGTCCGATATATATATGTCAACAAATATATAGATTAAACAACAAATTTACAAGTGACATAGACATTAACATTTGTGTTTGTGTGTGGACGTAAAGAGTTTGCATATTGGTGAATGTTCGTACGTACGTGTATGTGTGTTTCATGGCTTTTTCCCACAAAAAAACGCTGATCTCCGTGAGAGATCACATTTTTAAATGTGTCCGCTGAAATGCAAAGTAGAAAAGAGAATGAGCCAAGAAGTTGCCCAGTATTTATAGTGTAGGGATAACGACCCCTAGTGAACAATTAAGAAATTAAGGAGGAGCTAACTCCGACAAGAGTAGAGGATAGCGGTCTGTTAGTAATAGAGGATAGAGTAGAAATGCTGATCTGTATAGTAATAGAGGATAGAATAGAAATGTTATTAATTGGACACCACGCCACTTCTTACTTATGCGTTTCCTCTATGGTCACGTGGTGTACTTAATTCAATAATGGGATCGCCTGTGTTTGCTCACTGGCGATCTATGTTCAAACTCAAGTGTCGGCAGTGACACTTTATTCCTATATAACAACCACAATTCTATGATGAAAGGAAGTGGTGACGTTTCCTTTATGGTCACATGGTCTACTTAATTCAATAATGGGATCGCTTATGTTTGCTCATTGGCAATCCATGTTCAAGTTCAAGTGTCGGCAGCCACACTTAATTCCTATATAACAGCTGTGCAGCCGACTAAATCAAAAACAACCAACGCGCATGCGGGAAATTACAAATGTAAAATTGCGACAATTTACCCATCGCACCCTGTGTATATTAATAAACTATGAAAATAAAAAAAATATTGTCTTTCCTTTAGAAGGAGAGAAACTACAAAAAAAAAAAAAAAAGAAGAAAATCAAAATATAAACAAACACTTTATCTTGTGAGCAAAACTAAGAGCAAAGACATCCAATCACACGGATTCCCGGAGGACACATATTACCAACACATCAAATACCTTTTGTAAACAATTGTTATTAACACCACACTCCTTTCTTTTTATTGTGTTGGTGCATAATTATCGGGCGTTTTTTGTAGGTGAGTTATTTGTTAATAAAAATTGCCGTTTTGTTTACTTTTTTAATAAAAATATTATTTTATTTTCAGGTTATATAAATGCCTGTCGATAATCATACGCTCCAGAATAATTATTTAAAAATGTTATTGTTGAATTGTTATATTTCTTTTTTCATAATAAATATTGTTTAAAAACGCCTGATAATTATGCACCATTATCTATTGTGCTGAGTGTATTTGCTGTTTTAAAATTCCAGAAAATATGTACTTCCGTATAATACGATATCACTTTTTTTTCGTATTTCTTCAAATTTTTTCGTATTATACACAAGAAAATACGGTATTCGTTCCTGATTCTTTTGCTGATTGCAAATAAACTTTCTTTCAGAGTTACATTTCATGTTCTTGTCTTTCAAAAATCGAACCGTTTTTTTTTCAGTTCCTTTCGCTAGCAGTTCTTTTACACGAGAAGAAGGTTGCAATGAATTGTTCTCGGCGTGCACCAGGCAATATCCTATTGATGCACTTGTTGTGTGTCCCGATAAAAATAAAATGTTAAAATAGCTAAATGCAACCGCCACTTCTATTCCAACAGTTTCTTTTCACGCTTCCTTCCCGAAAGTGTCAATCACCATCTTCCATCTTCCTGTTCATCTTTTACCTTCCAGTCTTTTCTTGCTTTTCCCTGTAAACCCCTGCGTATAGTGGCATTTCCACCTTGCCTGGGGATGAAATGATTTAAAATGTAAATGCAACGTCAATCACCATCTTCCATCTTCCCGTTCATCTTTTGTCCTTTCCTCAATCCTCCCTATACTCAGTCTTTTCTCTCACTTTCACTCCCTGTAAACCCCTGCGTACTAGTGGCATTTCTACCTTGCTTGGGGTGAAATGATTAACACAATTTAAATGCAACGTCAATCGCCATCTTCTATCTTCTTGAATCCCGTTCATCTTTTGTCCTTTCCTCAATCCTCCTTATACTCAGTCTTTTCTCTCACTTTCACTCCCTGTAAACCCCTGCGTACTAGTGGCATTCCCACCTTGCTTGGGGTGAAATGATTTTAAAAATCATTGATATTTTTTATTGATAAATTTGTTTTTTACGGTTTATCAATCTTTTGTACGTTATTTAAAGCCAGAAAATATGTGAATTTATGAAAAGCAAGGAGCGCACTGTTTTCAGAATCTGTGCTGCGCATTAGTCAGCCTGCAGTCATCACTCATTCTTCCAGTGCCCAAGATGGTAGCGTTCGGCTGATAGATGTTGATAAGAAGTCACGAGACAGGTTCTCGTCGGCATGATGACAAAGATATGGAGCGAGAGAACACGAGACGAAAAAATGACATTCATTTGCCGTCGGAAGGAGAAAGAAAAAAGCTTGAAAGCTTAAAAGTTATTAGTTTATGTTAAGGTCTGCAAGCTGAAATTAGTCCAAAAAAGTCAACAGAATTCCTTTTCTTCGGATTATCAACTCTTTGCAGTTTATTTCAAGCCAGAAAATACTACTTTTACATTGTAAAAACTTTTTTCTTTTGTGGGGAGGTAGGGTGGCTGATAATGGTTTAGTGATACAAGTGTTACTAATTAACCCATAGCTGGATGGAGAAGAAGTGGATGCTTACATAATCAGAACTTGATAAACAAACAAGAAATTATAACGTAGATATAAAGTGGGGGATCAATTCTATATTAAAATCAATGAATGAACTGATCCCTCACTTTGTGGCCACGGTAGTTTCTATACATATATATCCAGAGAATGTAAATAAATCTAAAAGCCGTGCCTGTGTAGCTAATCAGTATTTCATTGATTGATTGATTCGTTTTATATGGGTTATCAACAAACACGAAATTATAACGTGGATATGAATTGGGGGATCAATTCTATATTACAATCATTATATGAACTGATCCCTCACTTTGTGTCCAGTGTCCTTTCTATACATTTCTATTCCAGAGAATGTAAATAAATCTAAGATATGTCTGTGTAGCAAATCAGTATTTCATTGATTGATTCGATTTCTGCAGCTTATCAACCCTTTGCGCTTTATTTAAAGCCAGAAAATATTTTACATAGCAAGATTTTTTTTTTACTAAGTTTTACTAATTAACCCATAGCTGGGAGGAGAAGAGGTAGATTCATATCTTTTTCAAGTGTATTTGCACGTAAACGAATATAAGGAACCCAAATGGAATTGGAACTCGGCTCTCCAATTAACAATTTCGAACCATCATCCATTACACCACCCGCACATCGCTTACAGTACCTGGTATTTCCAAGAGGTCACCCATCTAGGTACTCACCAGGCTTGACGTTGCTTAACTTCGGTGATCTTACGGGAACCGACATTTCAACTTGATATGGCCATAATTCACAAACAGAAACGTATTGTTTAGAAATTTATCTTTTTATTATTTTAACATTGATTGTTTGATAGCAGTATTCCGGTTGATACATTCTTCGGCCTTCTTCTTACTATCTCCAGTTCTGAAGTGAATTAGTGTCGTCATTTGACTAGTACCCCAATCTTTGTTGTTTACTTACAGTATTCCGGCCGATGCGCACTTCCTCGAAATCTTTTTGGATGGAATAATAGGGATTATTCGACTATTGTCCTCTTCGTTGTTGTTTTGAGTACAACAGTCCGGTCGTCGTATTCTTCGGTCGTCATCATATTGATTCATGTTATGAAATCAGTTATTCTCATTATTCAACTAATATCATTATCTTTACCTTTCAAAGCATGGCTCAACTGACCGAGATGAGATATAATAGATGCTAAGGCGCGATAGATCTCTGAGTTAACCAGGATTATGTTCAGTGCTAACAACTCCATCAAACTTACGAGAAATATATGACAGGGTTGGCCAAATCGCGCATTTCTTGATATTTAAATTAACATTTTGTAACAAAATGTATGTGTAATAAAAACGTATGTGTAATTTTTGTTCATGTCTTGCGGTTTTCAAAAGATCATAACTTCATCGTATGTGGCTCTGAGATTATTCAAGTTTGGCCACCCCTGATATATGGCAACGAGTGAGCTTAATGGGCCACGACCTTCCTAAAATTCTAAATGATGACATAAATCTATGGCATTACGTTCCTGATGGATCATTTTCTAACAGAATTCCCGCTGAATTGCCTCATGTGCCCGTAGCAGCATGTCTTTGAGGATGAACAGACAGTGTATCAGTACGAGAAATACCTTCATATATATATATATATATATATATATATATATATATATATATATATATGAAGAAATATAGTCTTAAGGTGTGCTTTATTTATGGGATAAAGTGCTCGGTATCAGAGATAGAGCGTGTGTAAATATAAAAGTGAACATAGAAGTCACCACTTACAGGCGACATGCTAGATGCAATCGTCAGGCCTGACGATTGCATCTAGCATGAAACAGACTGTCGCCTCTAAGTGCTGACTTCTATGTTCACTTTTTATTCACACGCTCTATCTCTGATATCGAGCACTTTATATATATATATATATATATATATATATATATATATATATATGATGGTTTTGTAGAGCTTATGTTATGACAACGTCCGTTCCTAGCATAAAATGCAGTGTTAATAGAAATACCACGTTCACGCTCAATCTTCATGTTATCCATGTATATTTAAAAGAACCTCTACCTATCTCTTGAGTGTCCTTCTCGAAATTGCCGGTTGCTTTTCTGACGATGCAGCCATATTTGTTGATGAGGTGACCACTTGTGGTAGATTTTCCACAAACTATGGGACCAATGATGACGATACTGTTTTCATAGTTGTCTTTTCAGTCTTTCTTTTTTTTTTTTATCATTTCACCCCATGCAAGGCAGTTAACCCACTAAGACATAAAGGGTTAAGTCAGTCAGTTATGTGCCATGCGTGATACACGCTTAGGCGATCATCCATCTTTCAATACATGACCGACGAGGCAGATTTTTTCCGCAATAGGTTGCCATTTCATTCTGCGGTAGATAAGTTGTCATCCAAGGCTATAGAACCGAGTCTGTCATGCTATTTACCCATAGCTGGGGGGAGAAGAAGAGGATCCATACCTTTTCCCAAGCACGTAAGTGAATGTATTGGATTTGACTAGAGATGCCAGGTCAGGACCAATAATATAACTGATTCTCCTTTGGATTTCATCAAGGATCTCTAGATATACAGCAAGAGCACCACGCTATATATGACAACAATATTCAAAGCATGAACGAATAGTAGACTTATAAATATGAAAGATAGATTTAGGAGAGAATTTTTCTCTAGTATGACACAATGAGCCATCTTTCTTGGCAGCAAACCTTGCAATGTTCAATATAATCTTTCCACTTCATATCAGCCAAGAATGTTAGCCTGAGCAGACGCAAAGAATCACTGTCATAGCGGTTAGCATCAGCCATGCTTATGGAAGGCAGGAAGGCGTCTTTCAGTTGATTGATAGAGAGAAGTTTCATTTTGGAGGCGTGAAAATTAACAAGCCATTCCTTGCCCCCATTTAACAACAGTGTAACTTTTAATCACGTGGTTGGACGATGATCCTATTAATTAAGCTGGTTAGAGCAAAAGGTGGCGTTACCATTAACGCATTTTGAGTAGATAGGTTCTCCCTATCGCTCTGTTCACACTCCTCCCGGGTCTTTTGAACACGAGTAGAGGTTTATTCGTTGCTTCCTGTTCAGGATTTGACTCCCGATTAATTCTAAATTCTACTCATTCTCTTTCACTCCCAGTAAACCCTTGCGTTTTAGCGGCATTATTGCCTTGCTTGAGGGGAATTTATAAAAATATAAATCTATAAAGTATATAGCCCTATAGTTGGAACGGATGTTGTCATAAGATAGCCAACAACAGACACCCACCCACATATATATACACACACAAATATATTATACGATTGTTCGCCCCCATATGAGGCACAAGAGCCACTCAAGATAGAGGGTTACTAAAAGAGGGATATTTTAATGGCGTAGATGTAGAAGCGCAGCTTATGAGGATATAGAGGAGAGATAACAGAGGTCGAGGTAGTACTGTGTCGAGAGTATGTTCCACAAAATAACATTTGTAGGGAACAAGCTGTTTGAGTGGAACTTCTTCCTTACCAATGGAATACGAAGGGAATAAGGATAAACCAGCCCTGTGTACCTAGTGGTTTCTAACTGTGAAGATCAGAACTGGTGGTACTGAGGAATAGAGCTCACCTGAACATTTGCTATGAAAATAGATTTGAGTAGCGAAAGGCTAGTAAAGAGTCTTCTGTGGGAAAGAGAGGGTAGGGTGGGATAGAGTTCATCACCCATAGGGCCGCAGCAACACTTTTAAAATCTATCTATCTATATAGATATTCTTTTCTTCTTTTTATGTGCTATGTCCTTTCAAGACGTAGGCGATCATGGCTCTCCACCTCACTCTATCCCTTGCAGCTCTCAGCAAGTTCTTTCCTTCTTTCTTCCTCCTCCAGACCACGTTCTGTACTCCACCTGCTCAAAGCTCATCAGATATATCACGCGCTGCTTTCCCTAGTCTCTCTTTCCCTCTATTCGACTCGTGAGTATCAGATTCTCCAGGCCCTCCTTCCTCAAAATGTGTCCCAGAAACAGCTGTTTCTTTCTGATGTTAAGCATGGGCCTCCTCCTTGTTTATAACCTCTCTAAGACCATCATACACTCGGTCCATGATATCTGAGATAGATAGATAGATAGATAGATAGATAGATAGATAGATAGATATGAACACACTGAGATAGATATTTTAAGACATTTTTATGTTTATCTATAAAAACGAACGTATAAACATAAAAAATGTCAAACTTTGTCCATTTCATGTGTGACGTCATTTGTTTACATTTGGATACGCATCGAGCAGATATGAATGTATGACAGAAAATCATGGAGAATTGTGGTATAAAAACAGTAAAATCGACCTTACTAACCGAAACGCTCATCTGTGGCTAAATCGGTAAAAGAACGTCAGGCTAAATGACGATTCTGTATAGGATACAGTTTCGATTCCTGTCGGAGGACGCATATTTTCTATGAAAACTTCTCGAACATTCAGGCCGGTAAATGCTGTTAATACTGTTCATTATAAGCAGAGCATTTACTTAAATATTTGTATCTGTAAAAAGAACGTATAAACATAAAAAATGTCTTAATATATATATATATATATATATATATATATATATATATATATATATATTCAGCGGGTTTCGATCTTAGCTAGAGACAACTGGACGTCTAGTCACACTGATGAGCTGTGATACAGCGAAACAGTCTGTCTCTAAATGACAATATATATATATATATATATATATATATATATATATATATATATCCCCAAAAAAATATAGCACACCTTAAAACTATATATATATATATATATATATATATATATATATATATATATATATATATATATATATATATAAGAGGGAGAGGTTATAGTAGTTCCAACGAGAAAAAGTGTAAATTAAAAGAAAGAGAGAAACCGCAAACGTTTTTGGTTGTAATGTGGATTTACTTAAAAAAAAAATATTATGCTTTATTTTCCATAATTTTATACACGTGTTTCTGGTCTCGCGACCGTCTTCAGGTTAAGGGTGGAGATTTCCACATATTATTAAAAATAATAAATTTTTTTCTCCATTCTGTTTTTCGACGTTAAATATTCTCGATATGAGACATTCTCTTTTTTTGTGTTAGTAATCCGTATATCTTTCTTGAACTTGGAAAATAAGGTTTAATATTCAAAAAAAAATATCCACATTACAACCAAAAACGTTTGTGGTATCTCTCTTCTTTTTTATATATATATATATATATATATATATATATATATATATATATATATATATAAGCAAATATATGGATATAGATCCGACAGTATGAAGAAAAATATACGGAAAAAACAAACAAAACTCCTTATATGCAATTATGGTGTTTTAACGTGACGACAACGTGACCATGTTTTAAACAGAGCGCTGATCTTATAAAACTTTCAGTTATCTGTTTGGATAAGTCTTGTTCTTATGTCCATCGTCTTTGTCATGTTGAATTGATAATGTTTATTATATTTTATGAATATGTCCTGAAGATGGTTTATTAGACCGAAACGTCCGACGTTGACATTATATTAATATTAAAACATAATAAGGATTTTTGCTTGTTTTTTCCGTATATTTTTCTTCATATATATATATATATATATATATATATATATATATATATATATATATATATATATATATATATATATATATATATCACCATTACTAGTCGATCTTCTATTATTAACTAAAATTATTACTAAAACCTCAGCTCCCGTCCCCACCTGAGTCGTGCAATTATTTCACTTTTCACTTTTCACTTCTGGTTCATTATTAACGTCTTTGCAAATCAACCATTCAATTTATCAAAGAACGTTTTACTTTTCTTAATTGCTATTACATTAAATTATTTTATTTTATGTATTTATTTTAGTTTGGGTCAAATAATTATATTTATTGATTAAGATAGTAAAGTTAAGAACCTAAAGACGAAATGCAATTTCATAAAGCTTCTTAAAAGCCTAACTAAAAGTCAACAAAATAATTGCTGAAAATATGTTAATTTGTAAAAAATTAATAGGTAGTTAAAAACTAAAAAAAAATGCGTTCACGTAGTTTTCGTAAATGTGTCATTTCTAGTCATCCATAAGAGCTGTCATCACCTTAAGAGCTTCTCGATAAATCAATAAAGATCAAAGAAAGAGGAAGCCATCGTAAAGAAATGCTTGTATATTGGTATTTTTAAGCTATAAGTAAGTAATATTTATTTCAAATCAAATTAATTAACTTTAGATTTTCTAATCTTAGTCAAATGATGTGTCACAAATCTATCATTTAACTTTGAAAGATTTTTAAAACCGATAAATTTGTTTACAAATTTCTTAAGATTTAAGAAAATGGCTGATTTTAAGAAAAAATTTTTTAAAATCGAGCAATTATTTAACATTCCAATCTATATAATTTCTATCTGAATATCTTACTGGAAATAATATATTTAATCATTTAGTTTTCAATTAAAACTAGAATGAAATCTTCAAGAATGCTTTTTCATTTTTAAAATTTCATTTTAAAACTTAGGTATCGAAAATTCATATTAATATAATTAAATTCGTAAAACAAATATTCAACACGACAAATGTTAACCGTAACTCATGTCTGTCTATCCTAATTTTTATTTAACTAAAGATTTCCTTTTCTTTTTAAATACAAATATAACTTGAAATTTAAATATAATCGCTTTTCAAAACTACATTCTCAATGTATCTTACTCGCTTCTACTCTCTTTTAAAATAATTAGTAATTAAATTCATTTACAGAGAAATGTTTGCTTATGTAATGTTTCAAAGTAAAACTTTATTTAATTTGAAAAAATTTAAATTCCCCTCCAAAATAAGGAGTAAATAATTATTTTTATTAATAATAATTTGAAAAAAGTTTAAGTTTGATTTGTTTGAAAACAACATTAGCAGAGTACTTATGTTAGTATTTAAATGGAAAAATAAAATGACTTTTTGAATAAAAAATATGGGGATTTCCAGCCCCCTAAGCCATTCCCTAGAACGTGTTATTGTGGTCTTTTCCTAAATTTAATTATTGTATAACAACCCCCCCAAAAAACAATGAAGTTTATTTTTTAAAGATTGTATAAAAAATTATTTTCCATAAGATGGCTGAAAAATATCAATAAATTTTCAATAATAAAGTATTATTCAGAGATCTTCCGAGCAACGCCAGGTATCCACGCGAGTATATATATATATATATATATATATATATATATATATATATATATATATATATATACACGCACTAAATCAAGCTGAACAAAGTGACGTTCGTGTAGAAAACATTACTGCATAGCATATTTGTTAAGCATTATGGGCAAAATGGAAAAAGGGCTGAGATAGATAGATAGATAGATAGATAGATAGATAGATAGATAGATAGATACATACATACATACATACATACATACATATGGTTAGGATGAGATAGATAGATAGATAGATAGATAGATAGATAGATAGATAGATAGATAGATAATATTTGTGATTTGAGAAAAAATTGAAATCGTTTTTAAACACTATAATTGAAAGCTTCAGTCTCTATTCGCCATATATATATATATATATATATATATATATATATATATATACACACACACACACACACAGAGTGCGAGCTGTAAATTGATGCCATTTTATATTTTTAATTTCGCGCATGCGCTCTGTTTGATTTTGACTTTATAGACTACACAGTATAATAGGGTTAGTTGGACACTGTCTGCAAGAAAAAGAGCTCCATGACATAAGTCACTCCGCCAGAAATTCGTTCTGATAATTCTGATCGTTCGGATAAGAAAGAAACACGTGCATTTGCTAGTGAGGACCTCAGACTCGACATGAAAACCTTAACAAGTGCTTTGAGGAGATAGTGCTGCCCTGGGTCAAGAGGGTGGCTACTGGAAGACCCTATGTCTGGCAATAGGGCTCTGCATCCTGCCACATAAGCAGGAGAACCTAATGATGGCTGTCAGACAATTTCTGCAACCACATCACCCCTTACATCTGGCCACCTAACTCCCCAGACTGCAACCTCCTTGATTATTATGTGTCTGACGCAATTGAACGAGAGATCAACAAAATTCCTTGTAACACCAGAGATGAACTGAAGACAAGGATTATAGATGCATTCACCAACTTAAACAAGAAGACAGTCTAGAAAATTTGCAGGAGATTCAACTGGAAGCCGTGGTTGAATCCAATGGCGATTTTTATTGAATAAATTTACTCTTTAGTATTTCAAGATATTTTTGTGTCATTTTGGTAAATATATCTGTTAAAATGAGATGTCAGTGTTATTTCCACTTTTGCGTAATTTAGACGATAATTTATCCATCGCATCCTATAGATAGATAGATAGATAGATAGATAGATAGATAGATAGATAGATAGATAGATGAGAAACAAAAAATCGATAACAAATAACCTTCGTTGCTCTTTAAGCAAACTTGTATAGTCTACAAGAAGAGGTGGAAATAGTGATCAGTTCTTTGGAGTAAATTGAATAAAATCGATTAACAAGATATTTTTTGTGTTGTATTGAAAGAAAATTGTTACTGTAGTTGATTATAATTGCAATTTGTAGAAAAATCTAAATTGGTCGAAATAGAAAACAAAATTCGTTGTTTTTTAATTCTTTAAATGTAATCCTTACTAAAAATTTACCATCAGTAAATGTCGAAGGCCGTTGTAACATTCCAATGGAAACTTTCTTAATCGTGCCCAGGACTCCAAATTCAGGTAAAGAAAACTGGCCTCTTCTTCTACAGACAACCATACGAGGATTTAAAAAGGAAAGAAAAAAAACTTGCTTAACAAGAAATACAAGATTTTAACTGCATCTTTAAGGCGAAATGACAAGGATTTGTTTTGTTTTAAATGGCATTCTGTTGTAAAATCTCGGCCGAATTTCATGAATACTTGAGACCCGCCTGTTTTCCTCGGGCAAAAGTGTGAGAGATCAAGTCAAGGTGGAATTGAAGTCGCTCGAGATACTGTCAAAGTTTTCAACCAATTTGCAAGTGGGAGTAATGCGCAGCCGCTGTTCGCCACCGGAAGTAAAAGCGGCTATCAATCAACGTGAAATGACACTACGCCCTCTTCTTTCCAATGCTCATCCTGTTTTCTGTCATTTTTTCGACTTTTCATGAGACAAAAACAAAAACAAAAGGCAAAAAACAGTTTCTCGCTCGATGTAAAGTTTTCGTCGGTCTTTTAAAAAAAACGATTTTCGAAGTAATATTGTTTTCCGATCTGGAATTAATTTAACGTGATGTCGACTGAAAGTAAGTATTTATTTAATTTTTTTTTCATTTCTTTATATCTGTAGACATCTACTAAGCAAAAATAAGTTATCATGTTTAGTTTCTTCGACCGTCGAAAAAGTAGACATTTTATATTTTGTTTTCATCACTGAAATATTATATTTGTCTCTCTCTCTCTCTTTCTCTTTCCCTCTCTCTTCTCTCTGTCCCACACTCTCTCTCGCATTGTCCCTTTTTTTATATGCTACTTTTTTTGAAACATTATGAATTTCACCGACAATTCAAATTGTTCTTTCTCCAGAATTTATACCAAACTATAAATGACTCAAATGAAAAAAGGTTCAAATGAAGAATGTCCATTCTGATTTTATTCTGTCTGTCTCTTACATCCATTTTTTCTTCCATTCTATCTCTGTCTCTGTGTATCTCTCTTCTTCTGGCTCAATCCTTCTTTCATTGCATCACTTCTCGGGGATCTTCGACTCTCACTCTGTCACTGTTTCTCTCTTTCTATCTCTCTCTCTCTCTCTCTCTCTCTCTCTATCTATCTATCTATCTCTCACTCGCTCTCTATCGTTCTCTATCTCTTTAATTGTCTCATCCCATCTCTTTCTGTCGCCATCAGTTTCTTTCTCCCCTATATATCTCTCTGTCTCTGTCTATATATATATATATATATATATATATATATATATATATATATAAGTTCCCAAGAGGATAGAATTCAGGTAGAACTCAATGTCCAGGACAGAGCAAAATATAATATAAAAGGCTCAAACATTATTATCCAATGGTTATAATTTATTACATTGGAATCGTAATCTGATGAATTGGATCGTCATTACAATTTCAATGTAGTAAATTATATATATATATATATATATATATATAATTTTTTAGGTCTGATGAATTGGATCGTGAATACGATTCCAATATAATATATAAACCATGAAATATTAGTGTTTGAGGCTTTTATATTATATCCTTACTCTGTCCTGGACATTGAGTTCTACCTGGATTCTATCCTCTTGGGAATTTATATATATATATATATATATATATATATATATATATATATGGTTGGATATATATAGGTTTCACTTTATGATCGGACAACTGACCCTGGGTTTCACGCTTTTTTGTGACCTGGGTTTCACGCTTTTGCGATCGTCAGACAACTGACGATCGCAAAAGCGTGAAACCCAGGGTCACAAACTCACATCTATCCAACCAAATATATTAGCTCTATCTCTGATATTGAGCGCTTTCTAATAAGTACCATATATATATAAATATATATATATATATATATATATATATATATATATATATATATATATATATACACACACTTTTCATATATATATATATATATATATTGACCACTAATATTATATATATATGTGTGTGTGTGTACACACACACACACACACACACACACACACACACACACACACACACATATATATATATATATATATATATAGTTACAGTGCATTATTTTATATACATGTTGTTCCTCACCGTTTAGTACAACTTTGGGCTTCACTGTGCTCTGTTACACACACATATATATATATATATACAGAGAGAGAGAGATAATTATATATACAAATATATATATATATATAAGATTACATATCTGTATATCTCCGTCCCTCTCTAGATATACATGCACATAAAAGTTCAAAATCTCCTGAAGATCGCAAGATCGTGAAACTTGAGTAGGAACACGAACTATCCTTCGTTGAGCCTCGACGCTGTGAATCGTTTTTTGATCTGTCTCGATAACCTTGGCATTGAGCACTTTCATTTACGGCGTAGGTTGGTCTTTGCTTTTTGGCCATGTTTTTTCTTGTTTCTTTTCTTTTCGACAATTTAGTTTTATACCGACTATATCAATTTCTGAGGATGGGTCAGTCGAAAGATACTTTAATTTATTATTTTTTTTTATTATATATATATATATATATATATATATATATATATATATATATATATATATATAGATAGATAGATAGATATATAGATATATTTAAAATTTGATGAATATATATATATATATATATATATATATATATATATATATATATATATATAAAGAAATGGACAAAGTCCGACAATTTATTTAAGACATTTTTATGTTTAAATTCTCTTTATAGATACAAGTATTTAAGTAAATGCTCTGCTTATAATAAACAGTATTAAATAACATTTACCGGCCTGAATGTCCGAGAAATTTTCATAGAAAATATTCGTCCTTTGACAGGATTCGAACCTGCATCCTATACGGAACCGTCATTTACGCTGACGTGCCTTGACCGCTCGTGTACTTTCGAGTTTAGCACAATGTCATCATCAAGGTGTTGTTTTTTTCTACAACGAAAAATTGAAAAGACCCTGATGATGACATTGTGCTTATGTTGAAAGTACTCGGCATAAAATAAATATGCATCAGCATAATAATTTTATTTCTTCCTTTAATAAAGATAACTTGTTCGTACTTACGAGAGGATCCTATTAAAAATAAGTAGAAAAATACTAAATGATATGAATATTTTTTTTCTTTCTAAACGCTTAAATCCACCAGCTCATGCCTTTGAAGATGCCCGGCACATACGTCTATCTCATTCTGTAACAATCTAATCACAAATTTAAACAATACTCGTTAAAAAAAAAAAAATGAATATTACTCGCTTGCTTTATTTGTTATCAGACTACGAATTATGACATTTTGTGTCTTCCATATGTTTCGACTGACTTTTCAACCACGTGATGAACATTCGTGAACGTTCTGAAATTTAAAAACCTTCATAAATCAATGACATCCTCAGCTTTGTATATAAACACGTGCAGTAAAATAAACACTACATTATCTTGATAAAGTCCCTCAGAGGACGAAACGCGTCGGCTAAGTATAGTTTTCCCTCTTGTCTCTTTTTATTCATTTTGTCTTCTCTACAGATATATTCTATCTGAGAATATTTACACACACACACACACACACACACACACACACATATATATATATATATATATATATATATATATATATATATGAAGACATTTTTATCTTTATACATTCTTTTTATAGATACAAATATTTAAGTAAATGCTCTGTTTTATAATAAATATATAAACAATAATAAATATATATTATCAGACTTTGTCCATTTCATAATGTGTGACGTCATTTGTTTACATTCGGATACGCTTTGAGCAGATATGAATGTACGTGACAGATTCATGGAAGATTGGAGTTTAAAAGAAGTAAAATCGACCTCTGTGGCTCAATCGGTTAAGGCACGTCAGGCTATATGACGGTTCCGTATAGGATACAGGTTCGATTCCTGTCGGAGGACGAATATTTTCTATGACAATTTTTCGGATATTCAGGCCGGTAAATGTTGTTAATACTGCTTATTATAAACAGAGCATTTACTTAAATATTTCTATCTATAAAAAGAATGTATAAACATAAAAATGTCTTAAAATAATTGTCGGACTTTGTCCATTTCATAATATACATACATACATATATATATATATATATATATATATATATATATATATATATTAACGAATAACAAAAAACGTTTATGGAGCCAAGGGACAATTTGCCAAAACCTAAAACTCTTGCCCAGATTCAGTCTTGAACAAAACGGCAACAGTGAAAAAAGAAAAAGAAAAAAGGCCTAAGGCAAACTTACCTTCTCAGTAAAGTAAAATGCTCGAAGCCTAGATTGTCTAGACCAATCTTATATCGTTTTGGATCTGATGAAGATTTAAAGGACACTACGGGAATTACTCCGTCCACTCGTCAGGTGTATCACTAATTGACTATTTATACTTCTCGATTTTTCTTTGTTATCTGCACTTGCACGATGGTGCGTACACGTAGAATTTTGTGGTTATTTGTTCTTTACGCAGTTGTTGTTATTTTTTTTTCGCTTTATACTCATTCGTCATTGCTTTTTTTACCTTCTCTCTCTTCTCTTTTTTTCTTTCAGTTTTAACTTCCGGTTTTCATTTTGACTTCCGGTTTTCTAGACTTATACTGTAATTGTTAAATCTTGAGCGTTCTAGTGTTTTCTTTAGTTAGGAAAATTGTATTTATTTTTTTACATAAATAATTTTTTAATGTTTAAATAATAACGTAAATATTTATATATGTCTTCACTTGACCATTATTTCGTTTTCATGTACGTATATGTATGTATATATATATATATATATATATATATATATATATATATATATATATATGTATATGTACGTATACGTACGTATATGTATGTATATATATATATATATATGTATATGTACGTATATGTATATATATATATATATATATATATATATATATATATATATGTATGTATGTATATGTATGTATATGTATCAAGAGGTCCTATAAGACTAAATAATAGTCGTACGCGGGTTCATGAAACACAACAACATTTCGTTTCCCCCAAAGTGACATCCGCAGTCACCTTGTGGTGCAAAGGGCGAT